ACTACAGTCTTCCAGCGAGCAAGCTTTCAACTGTTGTGAAATAGAAGGCCACAGCAGGAGTGGGGACTGGTGTTTGTTCACTGTTACATGAAAATGAGATCTGTATTGCTCAAGCAAAGCTGTGCCCTAAGTTTCTAAACTAGGGCAATTTCATTCAGGCTTTCAGTTTTGCATTTAAGTGCCTAAATAAAAATGGTCTGGATCTTCAGAGCTACAGAAATGGAGGATCGGCTAGTGATCCCAGCGGTCCTGTTGAAGCTTTTGAGAACTGAGACCCTAAAGTTTTGGCTCTTTGATATTTGATCATGTAAGAATAGGCACCGAGTTTTAAAATGTTGATTGATACACATTTTATTATGTGCAGCATTATGTGAACATTGAGATTTGTGTGCCTCTCGGCAGAGCTTTTCATTATCTGTTTGGCATTTATATCCACTATTCATACATAAACAGTGCAGTTCTGAAGGCTGATGGAGACAACTGTGTAGTTTCAGTTCAAGCATCAGTTTTAAAGAAAACTGTATACTTCCCTGAAAATTAGTTTCTCCTAAGGAAGTACAGTTGAAAAGCTTGCAGAAAACTCATTCTACTGTGATTTTGAGGGGATGAGGACTGGTAAGAACACTTTCTCTGTCTTTCTAAAGGTCTTTTTTTATTTTGTGGCTAAACAGTGAGGGGGGGAGGAATCCTAGAGGTCCATCTGCTCTATGCCAAATTATATACTGTACAGTCCCTTTTCACTTCCTGTAGAACCTGCACGAACAGCACGAAAACTGGATGTTACACAAGGAGGGTTTCTTTGGACCATGAACCTCAAAGCATTTGGCATGGCAACCAGTATGCTTTTCCTCATTCTGCATGTTAAGGAAACAGCCACAGACAAGGAATGGCTGGTAGCAGGTGGTGGTTGAAGAGACTCCAGCGTTTGCTCTACCTTCCTCACTAGCAATGAGATCTCTTCCACTTAGCAGTCAAATAAGCTGCCTATAAATGATTTGTTTACCAGCAGGTTGGTCCTTTATCTGATTTGGAGGGGAGATGGCACAGCGCGCAACTAGCAGTTTCCTCTCCGGGAAAGCTGCTTAGGCAAAGCTCTCAGAAAAGCTACTTAGTCTATAGGCCAATATCGCGTAGTCCCAGTGTCACCTTAAATGGGTTACTGCAAGGAAAGCTAGAAACGGTGGTTCAATATCTTCTTGCTGGACAGTACTGTAAGGGTCCTCACCCTTTGCTAAAAATAGTGATGCTATTAAACCTTCAAAGGCTATAATCTGTCAACCAGCCAGAATAGTGCAGTTACTCAAGCAGCAACCCAGGACTCCAGAGGGATTTGCGATCCCAAGAGTCAGGGTCTGCTTCCTGCTCTAAGTCTAAAAGAGTTTTGAAGATGCTGTGAGTTTCACCTGGTAGAAGATTGGGCTTTTGTGCAGTTGGCACAATCAGTGTTTTTGATGTCATGGAAATAATCATTGTGATCAAGGTAAGAGGCAAAATGGAATGATTTGAAAGGAGCCTCACAGCAAATCCAGGTCCTTGGTGGGCATGTGGGATGGAGGGAGCCTGGAGAGCAGTGGAAGGACTGGGACTGGTGCAGTGGGAGGTCGGTGCTGACCAGGTCTGGTATAGGAAGGGGTAAGGGTGCTGAAAAGTGTCTCCTAGAGTGCTGGAGATCCATAGGCTGCATGGAGCTCTGGAAGCTCTAGGGTCTCTGCCATGCAAGGTGGCACATGAGACAGCAAACATGTAGAGGTAGAGTCGATCCAGCAGTGATAATGTGGACATTTTGTCAGGAAAAGGAGAGAAGAAAGGTTTGAGTGATTTCCCCCTCCCCAGCCCAAACGTGATCAAAGTGGGAGAGTTTGGTTTTCACATGCAGTATAGTAAACTGATCAAAAAGAAACCTTTACACTGTAGCAAGCCCCCAGTTTGGGTAGCATTTAGGGGGCAGAGAAGTGAAGCAAACCTGCTTCAAAAAAAAACAAAAAAGGCAAGCAGCTGAAGGTGAGCATCTGCAGTTACCAAATTTCCACGATGCTGGGATTTCCCCACCACCCCACCCATGGTTGAAGGGAGGTGGCCCAGCTATTATCTCTCCTCTGAGCCACATGCTTTACCACTTAACTCCACAGCAGTTAATGAGATCAGAATGGGGAGAGGCAGAGAAACCCGACTGACAAAGATGTGCTGCTTTTTTTTTTTTTTTTAATTTATATTTGAGCTGAGTGTCCCCTGTATGACTTGCATGAAGCAAGTACAGGTCTCTGTTTTGTTAGCAAACCCCGGGGTGCTCAGAGTGTTTCCATGTGTGAGTTATGCATACAGACAGACTGGTTTTTGTGGGAATGCAACCTGCCTAAATTTGACCCTGCACCTACCATGCAACTGCTGCATGACTTGGGCATGTGAAAGAAGAGTGCTAGCGTGATGGTGAAAAAAATAGCTGAGAATAAGCTGGAGACAGCCTGACTTTGCTAGGGTTGCCCCTGCTCAGCTTCCACTGCTGCTGCTGGTTGCTTCTCTCAGTGCAGTTAAGCAAAGTCATCTCTCCTCTTGGCTTTGAACCAGTTTAGAGTTTGGCTAAACCCTTCTTTTTCTACAGATTGAATCATAGGTGAATTTAGGTAGTAAAGCAGGAAGTGGCTGGGATTTTTAGTTATTAGATGAAAAAGCTTCTGGAAATACTTAGGAGGCTACAACCACCAGAAACATGAGGCTTTGAGGGCTGACACACTTTAGCTACCAAAGCAGTGGCTCAGACCACCTGGAAATGCTCTGCTGATCGTAGCATCAAAATTTAGGATCTGGAAAACAAACTCACGTTGGCTTTTAGGGAGACAGTAAAAGAGGGACTGGTAGCAGAGTGCTTTGCTAGTCTCACAGCAGAGATGCTCTTCTGCACATATTGGAAATGGAAGTACTGATATTAATGAGCTGGTTTGCTTTAATAAAATTGAAGGTACTGTTCTTCAAGTAGGTAAGGCAGGCAGGAATGAGTCTTGTTCATTTGTTGTTAGGCCTTCCAGAAACGTGAAAATATTTCTCAGTTATTGTTGCTCTCAGTTGTAAATGGGACACTGTCTTCTGATTGATTCTTTTTTTTTTTTTAAAAGAACAACCTAGAAGTTACTTGCCAAAGCAATTTTTAGTTTTTGTGGTTTTTTTTTTTGTCATTTCAAATCCTGTTGAATTACAACCTCTGTAATAGACCAGGGAAAGAACCTTATTCCTGCATTTCCAGGATCAAGATTAAATTTAATGCACTTACAAGAAAAGAACAATTGTTGTCACTTCCAAGTGAAATATGGTTATGTTGTTCTTGGCACCTGTAGCGCTTATAAGGAAAAAAAATCTGCTGCTGGGTTTTTGCTAATAATCCTTACGGTGATGAATGACCCAGAACATGGTCTTGTTTTGTCTCAAGAGCTTCCTCAGATCTGTAGTTTTTTTCATGAGATAGCTGTTAAAAAAATGGTTTTGACTTTGCACGTACAGCCAGATCCTTTCAGTCCTGTTTTTCTCATACTTCTATGTTGGTAGCATTCCTTCTTGTGACTTTCTGGGAGTTTGATTAGATAGAGTTGGGACCAAATATGTTTTCTCTTCAGTTTTTATTGAAGGGCAACCCTCCCATGACCATTTCTGGTATATTGCTGGTTTTGGCCTTACATGGCATTTTTCAATATACTTAATTACCTGTTCCTGTCTCTTCGTGTTTTAATGGAACAAGTGTTTGTTTTCCAGCCATTTAAGGAAGCAATTACCATATTAGTGTCAAAGATGTAGCATGGCAAGCATTTAGAAATCAATATAATTGTTCTTTAAGAGATCAATTCCTGTGCTAATAGTAAAGGAATGCCCAGAGATTGTCACTGAAATTTGAAGAACTCATCTTTCTAAGTTTTAATCAAGCCTTTGCAATGTGATAGCAACCAGAGGCCAGGCAAATTGTAATCTCATTGTACCAGGTGCCGTACAAACAAATTTCTCTGTGGGAGAAACTGTTGTGTAAGAAAACATTTTTCTTCTGTGTGAAGTTACACGTGTAAAGTGTTTTGGAGAAGAACAAAACAGATTTTTAAAAGAAAATCATGGAATGCTGAAAATTGATGAGCTCCCAGTTAAAACCTGTTCTTCTTTGAAACATTTTTTTTTAAGTAATCTATCACACTCCAAAACTTTTAATGACAATTTCGCTGTGTGAATGTGTGACTATTTTACATTACTTAGTATGCATCACCACGTCACTGATGTCAGGCTTGGAGTTTTCTGGGTTGTTTTTTTCTTTTTTTTTACTTTAACATTTCAGGGTAGGTAACTGAAAGTATTTTTCTTGCAAATAACAAAAACCAGAGCCTGTAGGTTTTGGTTAACAATCAAACATGTGAAAAAAACCTTTTTTTAATACAATCATGCCTTGTATCCTATGCCTAAAATAGTTTCTACAGTTCTTTACATTCCATGTAGACATAGTTTGCTTGTATGTCATAAGAAAGAGATTTTACTTGAAACTCTTTTACAGGCCAGCTTCTTCTTGCACACAGATGGGCACCAGTGTAACTTCACTATTTGTGGTCACTCCCAATGTACACTAGTGTATGTCAGAGCAGAATTGGGGCCAGTTGCTGAGAATGTATATGTTGCATCAAAGTACAGTTAGGGGCAGGGACTTCCTGTCACGGGGTCTGCAGAAGAAACATATTCATGCAAATTAAGAAAGCAGGTTGCTATATAAGAGTGGTTTTCTCCCCTGTGTCAGATCTGTTAAGAACCAGACTAGGTGTTTTGTATGCAAGCTCACACTACCATGTGAGATGGTTACTACCTTAAGGGTGGCTTCTGAAACCAATGATGCCATCAAGAGAGAACTTAGACTCATTTTAGAAACTTTTTATCTGCTGTCTGTCCTAGTAAAACCAGACTGCAGATAAAGAAGATGCTACTTTACTTAAAACCCAATTTGGAGACAAGCAAACTGACCACTTGTCCTCTTTTCTGTTCAGGAAGAGGAAAAAAGGAAGGCAAAGGAAGAAGAGGAGAAGAGGGAGTATGAAGAGTACCTGAAGCTGAAGGAGAGTTTTGTAGTTGAAGAGGAAGGGGTTGAAGAATCAATGACGGAGGAAGAGGTATGTATGTTAGGCTGTTACTGCAGTTTCCTTTATCTTTGTTAGACTCAGGTTGCCCTTACTGCATTCTGTCTCATGTAAGATGAATTTGAAAGTAGGAGTCAGCCAGATGTTTTTGCTTGTAAAAGCTAAATTGTGTATGTGGCACACGTTAACCTGGAGCGTTTCCTGTGGAATGCTACAGTCCCTCATTCCAGACTCCTACAAGTCAGTTTAGAGTACTAAGGCAAATGCATGTCGCTGGAAATGAGTTCTCTCCTTCCTTAATGTAAGGACTGAAATGAAACTCATCCTGGAAGTCAAATACTCTCTTACTGTCATCGGCTTTGCTCTACCCATATACAGTGGGCCAGATGAAAGCAAGGCTAAATATGGAGTTTGGTAGTGCCCACATATCTTGGGAGGAATTGCTTGGTTTTGGTTTTATTTTCTAGCCCAACAGAGCTGCTGTGAAATCAAATGAAAAATGAAGGTCTTGTCTTTAAAAGGCTTCAGTTAAGAGAATTCACAGGTCACAACCTTGTGGGTTGTACACTGGAAAACTGTACATTCAGTGTTGCAAATGATTGCTATGGTTGATAGTATTTCACACTCTGCATAACGGTCTAACACGCTCCTCCTGTGGCTGCCTGCAGACGTGCTGCTGGGGATGGTGGTTGAAATGTGATACTCGACATAATATCACAGCAAACTTGAAAAAGTTCCACTGTTGTGGGAGGCAGTGTTCTTATTCTGTCTGCTGAAAACCTGTTAGACTAATTTTAATTGCTGTCAAATGCTGAAGTTGCTTTTGGGTTGTAGCTGCCAGATTTGAGCTGTCCAATGCATTTCATTATAAGTATTTTTTTCAGGGCCGTGTGTGCGTTTGCTCCTCTGCTAAAGCGAGCCTGTTGAATTGAATGGATTTGCCCTTAGCGTGACTGAGAGTGGCTTTGGGCTGAGGAGCTTGTAGTGAGTCAATACCGCTTGACATTAGTCACAAGTTCTCACTGTGGACCCCTTCCCATTGAGATAAATTCCTCCATCATGCCAGGAGTAACAGCAAGAGAAGTTGTATCTGGTGATGGGGAATTTCCGAAGATGCAGAGAACAGTGAAATGAAAACTTTCTGTTGAAAGTGCCTTCAAAAGTGTGTGCCTATCCTGTTAGAAGTCTGCTTTAGATACCCTTTAAAGCCAGAATGTGTTCATTGTCTGTGTTCCTACAGCTGCCTGTCAAGGAGAAATTAATCTCTCTGTATGTGGGAACAGAGAAGGGTGCTCCTCACTCAAAAGCTTGGCAGGCAGTTGATGATGCCTGGATCTCAACATAAGATATCTTTGGTAGGAGTGAGGAGATAGAACTTTAATAGTAGGCGATTTGAAAGTTCTCTTCAGAAGCAATCACAGGTACGTAGTTACTTGGAGATGGCAGCCTTGCAGAAACGGCAAGCCACCCTTCTGCCTTGTGGTGGATAATGTGCTGGAGCATTTTAGTATCCTGTTACAACAGATGACTCTGCCATGTGTTGTTGAGGCTAGCGCGCTGAAACTCATGCTGAAAATTAAGGTCCTGAGTCCAGAGTGAAGCAGTTAATTAAGGCTGATTGATTTCCAGGGTTGCAGAGTAACTTGATCTCCTGTTACCTTAAATGCATGTTGTTTGCATTGCCTTTGAAAATTGAGCTGCTTGTATTAAAATGCCGGATTTCAGGTGCATAGCTTTGAAAACGGCTTGAGCTTCCACATGTGTTGTGCAGCTGTGTGCTACACTTGACCATCTGCATGAGCTGTCTCCTGAATCACTCTGTACTTTACCTCTGTACAAAACGTCCTCAGTGTGTGTATGTAACTTAATACACGATGCACGATCTCACCCAGATGTGGTTATTTCAGGGTACGTATGATGTGAAGAGTAAAAGATTCAAAGATTTCTTTTCAGAAATCACTTAAACACAAATTGTACTAGAGCCATATTCTGCCTTAGAAAATACGTATCATAAATTCATAGTTAAGATTAAATCTGGATTTTTTTTTTCTTTTTCCCCCAGTTCAAAATCTCCCTCAGTGTGTATGTTTAAAAGTTCGGAAGTATGCAAGCTAAACACTTTTATAATATTTGTACTCAGCAAGTTTGTGATGCATTTAATGTTCATGAGTTTAAAATAACAATTGTTTTCCTTGCTGTATCCAGTCTCACAGCTTTCTAATGGAATTTCTTGAATATGTTAAGGTAAGCTACAGAAGTCTTTCTTCTCCTTCCACACTTGTTAGATTGTATAAAATCTCTTTGTCAAAGAGCTGAGTTGCAGAAAGAAGGGAAATTGTTACTTCCTCTTCGATTTACTTAAATATTCAACAAGTAACAAAAGTGATACCTTGGATAAAGTCTGCATTATTTACTTAACCACGCGTGAGCATGTCCATCGTTGTTAAAATGGTTTGTAATTATAGCTGTGTCTTGGCTTTTTGGGGCAGGATCATAGCTCTTACCCTGTTTCATAGGGATAGGTGTTACAAACTCTGCACCTGGTGCATCGCCCTCAGAGTTTAGGAACAGCAATGCTTGCTGTTGATTGGGATTTGGGACATTGAGGCTTTTTGTGTGTGAACATCAGCTACTGATTTAGAAAACAGCCTCTACATCTCAGCTCAGCATGAATGAGAATTGCTGTACCAGCGTGTGGCCTGCCGTGCAGGATGTGTTTGTCTGAAACACTGGCATTGCAAAGGTCAATCCAACTTTTCATGCAATTTCTTTTGTTTTTTATCCGTGCAATTTGCAATGTTTAAGGAGAAGATCGCTTGTTTTTAACAGGGTGTGTTAGTCTCCCTTTCATCGTATTGTGTGGTTAGTTAAAACCTGTGCTGTGTTCATGAGGATTTCCACTTTTGATCTGCAAGAACAAACGCTCCTTTCTCCACTGTTGGTGTATTAAAGATGAAGTGCATTTTTCTACTCTTATTCTGACAGTGTTATGCAAATCTTTTGTCCTAATGAATCCTTTTCCTCCTTTACTGGAAATGGGACTCTTACCTGACAACGTTTGGCATATGTGTGAAAGGCTTCATTAGTAAGCAAATCACTTGGATACTTAACTGAAGTCCTAATCATTTTGTTAATCCAGAAGCTCGCACTCTGGGCCAGTTTTGCATGTCCATTACCCCAGCAAAAACCCGGAGTTACAAACAGATTTGTCTCATGGGTAACTCTCCTCAAGCAGTTAATTTGAGTGAGTGACATGCAAGTCTGAACAGCGGCTCGATTGTTCTAGAGTCGCTGCAAAGCTACGGTGCAAGCATCTTGTGCTGGGCTCCTCTCTGCCTCCTGTGTCACTGACACTTTTGGTGGTGTATCCCTTTGCCAGCAGGCCACAGTGAGAGAGGCTGCTAGGTTTGCATCTGTCGGGTGCTTTCGGATCACTGTGATCTCTGGGGGTAATCTGGAAATATCTAAGCTAGTAATACTCGGAGTTAGGACTTACCTTCACTGCTGCAGCCCAAATGAAAATAGCCCCTGTTCAGTAACCAAGTCGCCAGCATAAGCCAGTCGACTCTGATCAGAAGCACTGCCAAAAGCAGATGAGACAGCTGAGAATAGATTGGAAAAGCTATGGGTGACATGCTTAAAGGGCCTAAGTAAAACCGTGGAGCGATGATGAACCATCAGATGGCACATTTCATTTTGCAGCCGTGCAGCGATTTCAATACTCTCTTTTCCACAGAAGCCAGAGGGATTTCTTTGAAAGGGATGGGAACTTTGAAATGGCCATGTCTATTAAGATCACCCTCTGTTTCAATTCCTAACTGTGGAAATGGACTACATGGTACCGTGTGATCCCAGTTCACCCGTTCCCATCTAAGGCTTTCAAGATACTGCCAAGCCCTGGATTAAGAAAAATGTGCTGTTCTTTGTTGATAAACAAGCCACCCTAGGATAACAGTAGGTAGAACAATAGGGTATTTCAATGTCCCTTGGGATCTTCCACTAAAATTGGGAGGGTTTCCAAGGGATAACAGAGAAGGGTCTGATTCTGCACGTTGCCCTGGTGATTGCGATGGGTGGAACAGATTAGTCACAAACTCTCAGTTCAGTGTTTAAGCACATATGTATAGTTTTATATTAGTCACTTCTACTTGACGTCAGAGAAATTAAGCACAGGCTGAAAACCTAATTCAGAAGCACTTCGACACCTGACTTCCTATGTAGAGATGAGTTGCAGAACTGGGACATGACTTTCTTTTACAAGTTTTAGGTTTTTTGGTTTTTTCTTTTAATCTTGAAAGTATGCTTAAATGTATAGATTATGCATAGCCCTCATCGGTTCTATCCACAGAAACTGTTGACATATCAAGAAGCAGTGCTAAGCTGCTAGTAGCTGCCTGAAAAACTTATAAATTAAAAGAGCAATTGGCATTAAAAAAAAATAAAATTGGCTGTTCTGTTGAGTAACTTACTTTACTGGTACAACTGGCTGGAGGTAGCTCACCCCATGCTTCATTCCTAAGGGTGCTTGAAATAAAATGTGGCCTCTTTTCTCTATCTCTGCCTTGTGGGATTGTTTTAAATGGGATTTTTCTCAAAGGCACCAAAAGGATTGACGCCCCCCAATTCCACTTTTCTGAAAGCCGAGCATCTCCCTTCCTTTGGGGTTTTCATAGTAGCCCTTCAACCTCCTTCTGGCTGCTGCAATATCACCACCTCCCACCTTGGGCTGTGGCATTGTCTGTGCTGCAGTCGTTGTCCTGCGTGTTTGCTCCTTACAGTGGCCAGTCCTCAAGTTACAGACCTGACTGCTCTGCAGAATAACCAATTCCTGATGGGAGCCTTAGGGTTTTACTCCGCAGGGCTGTAGCTGCATAACACACCTTACAAACCAGCTCTGTGGGCTCTCTGAGCCCTTAAAAAAAACAAAACAAACCCCCAAACCCACACAAATTAATAATGAAGTGAGCAGAGGTTGAAGAGTGGCTGAGCAGTTCCCTGGCTCTGGAGCCCAGGCTCTGTTGGCCCAGGGAAGTATGAGCCTGTGCTTTGTCCATCAAACTGTTCTCACCCGGCCTGACAGTGTATCATTGAATGCATCTGAATTACAGCCAGTGAATTGAAACAGCAAACTCCACGTTCACTACATTCCTGTTTTTTCTTTAAGAAAAATTATACTTATAAGAAAAAAAAAAATTCTACTCATTTTGAACCTGGGAGCTCTTGCTCTGTTTCATCCCTTGCTGAGGACAACAGCAGAATCATACCTAAAATTAATTAATTCAGTAAAGTATAGATGTGCATGTGTTGCTCTATGGAAGTTAAGCCTGTCTCTAAAACATGAAGCATGTGGTGAAGCGTTTTTGTTCGCTTGGGACCTCACAGTGTCATTATATTTCAGAGTGTGTGCGGGGAGCGCATCCTAATTCCACCCCACCCTGTGGGCTCTTATTCACAGCAGGATCTATCTTGAAAAGCTTCCACTAAACTTGGTCTTTGAGGGCGAATATCTTTAAGTGAAGGTTTAAATCCTGTTTTTCTTGTTTATGTGGCTTTGCATCACCACCCCCCCCACCACCCCCCATCCTTTTAAAAGAAGATGTGACGAATCTTGGCAGTTCCCAGCTCTGAGAACTGAATTCCATGGACTGGTTCCAATTCCGTGCGTTCAGTCCATGGTATTCAGTTCTCTAGCTTGGCTGCGTCGAGCTTCACAACTACTAAGTCTGTGTGTGGCTTTTTCTCTCTGATGTTATTAATGAAAAAGATTCATCTATTTCAGCCTCTCTTTATTTCTTCAGTGTCCTTCCAGTGTACTTTCAAGATCAGAAACAAATGCATTTATCGTTTGAAGTATTGCATCTGATAATGTAAATGTGGCTTTTGTGGCCATATATATATGGCTCTTAGGAGTGTAGTCCGGAATGTTAACTGAACAGTTTTCAAAAGTTTTCTATTTTCCAAATTCCTTACCAACAGTGCATCCTTTTGCTGCATCTAAATACGTGAGTTTCTAAAACTTTTGCAGATAAGAAAACAGGAACCAAGTAGCTCCAGACGAGTGCACCAGGTGTTTTCTCTGTAATTCTCTGGAGCTACAGAGAAGCATAAAACCAGATGTGAGCAGTGGTGACTGCGTCCTGACTGAGAAAGGCTGCAGTAAGAATCTCTTTCAAAAGCAAACTGAAAATTTGCAGTTCCTGCTTCTGCCTTCGTTCTCAGAGATCATCGCGCTGCCTGCGCAGAAGCGCGCTAGCAGTACGCTTCCAGCACTGACAGTTTTAATAAGGTGTTCACTTGCTTAGGAAGATTATTACAGCATTAATACACATGACATTAGTAAAACAGACTAAAGCACTTAATGCTGCCAGTCTTGTCTGGATTTTTATGTATGTGCTGATATATATACCAGTGATCATTTTAAAACATACTTTGAAACATCTCTCAAACAAAAAGGGATCTTGCTAAAGTGTACTGGAAATGAAAGGAAGCAGTTGAGAAACTCAGGTGGCAGGGAGAACAGAGCCATGGCTGTTTGTTGTGCTTGTGCTCATCCTGTCCTCCTAACGTAAGGAAAGGTTCAGGACAAACGCTGGCAAATGTATTCGAGTCTTCACTTAAGTGGGTCAGAGCATCCAGTCTTTCCACAGAGCAGAGTGGTTTAAGTAAGTTGGAGTTTTTTCTTCAGAGAAAAGTGCTTACTAGGAAAAGTTAGAATGGCAGGTTCTCCTTTGTCTATTAAATACATTTTTTTATTTGAAAGAAAAAGAAATATGCTAACCCTCTAATTCATCAGCTGCATTTAACTCTTGTTTGTTGTCATAGAAAACAAAGGTAATCCAGCTGGAGGACTTGGCTTCCCATTTGGGTTTAAGAACACAGGTAAGTACTGCCTTTGGAGGTGCAAGTACAAGCAATGACTTTAAAAGGACAGGAGAGAAAGGGGATAAATAAGGGTAACATCTATGCCAGAGTCTCAGCATTACTGAAAATGCTTGGATTTTGGTGAAGTTCAGCAAAATCAGCCCTAAAAATGTGGCCATTCATCAAAGTACCATCCAGCCAATGAAGGATTGTTGGCTTACAAGATTTTCGGTGAGAAGTGCTCAGTCTGCCTCTTGCACAGCTGCCTGTTGGCTAATGGATCCTATAGTGTTTGCAAATCTAGTAATAGAGCAATTCAGGGTACTTGGTAATCAAAAGCAGAGCTAGAAGCAAATTCAGACACTGCCTGCGTAATTGGACAATGTTATGTTTGCAGACAGTCATTATATGAGGTGTTTTGCTCCAATTGCTTGTGTATTCTTAGAATGTTTAACAATTATCGAATAGAATATTTCAGTTGGAAGGGACCTACAAGATCATCTAGTCCAACTGCCTGACCGCTTCAGGGCTGACCAAAAGTTAAAGCATGTTACCAAGGGCATTGTCCAAATGCCTCTTCCACACTGACAGGCTTGGGGCATCGACCACCTCTCTGGAAGCCTGTTCCAGTGTTTGACCACCCTAATTTGTATCTTCTGGTGCATTACTTAAGAATATTGTCCCTCTCGGCACCATATAAGCCTGTCAAAGTGAGCTCATGGCGTGATATCAGTACTCCCCTTCCCGTCCTCTTTCTGTTCTCTAAACATTTTATGTTTTGACTCTGAAGAATAGTCCTGGCTTGGTTTATTTTAATTTGAGCACATTGTATTTCAAACTGACTGACTGTTTTCTGTTGTTCTGTACCTCATCTGATCTTGGGCTGTAGCTTACACTGCTGTAAGTCCAGGCTGCTGTGCCCCTGCCTCTCTCTTAAACCAGAATTTCATTTAAGCATGCAGTGAACCAGTTAAGGGAATTCATCTGGTTGAAATCTAAACTATAACTTCCTTCTGCAGTCACATGAAGGCAAGAAAGGGAGAGAAGCAGAACTGTGGAAAACAGGGCTTAGATACTAGCTTAATGTGTAGTAGAACAGCATGCTTAGAGTAACTATAGAGTTAACCCAGCAAGAAATTCAGCAAGTTGTTCTTTGGGTTGGTAAAAGAGGTTTCCTTTTAAATGGAGCAGGAAAAAAAGTGTAAAAAGCTCTGGAATGTATTGAGTGTAGCCAGGTTCTTGGAGCAGTACCTCAGTGTACTTCATGGAACTTGCGTGTTGTGTTGGCACTATACAGCCTTTTCCCGGGAAGATGTGGATAACCACCCCGCTTCCATAAAACTGACAGCTAACTGAGCATTTAGTCTCTTTTGGGGATAGGGAAGTTATTTGAACACCCCAAAATGCAGCAGCTCACCTTGTGCTTCTAAGATGAAAGGGCTTACTGCATCTGCCTGTGTGAAAATACTGATGTACGTCCTTCACTGAACTCTTTAACACCGGGGAATTAAATGTCAGCCTCCATCTGTAGTTTATCTAAACAAGTGAAATGGGTTTTGCCTTCCTCTTGATCAGTTTGTTATTCCTTTTCCCCTTCTGAACAGGATGCAATTAACAGAATCCAGGACCTGATGGCAGATGGCACTCTAACAGGTGACAGCCAAAACACAAAGGGGACTTCGTTTTAGCTGGCAAATAGGTGGTGCAGAAAATGCCTTAACTATGGTAGAGAGGTTTCCAGATTTCTGATTTAAACTGTAGAAGATTCTAGGAGGACTTGATAAATAGATATTTTTATTATCCCTGCTTCAGCTGCCATGAAACTACTGTTTAAAGCACTATGGGATGCTATTGCTCCTATGAGACATTATACAGAGGTGGGGCGTGAATGTCCCCAGCGCTTCAGGAACCAGCACAAGGTTCTGCATGTTGGTTGAGCCTTCAGCTGAAGGCCTTTAGGGGTTGCTGAGCAGCCAGCTGCAAATGATACGTTCTAAATTCAAAAGCATCACTTGGATGTTTTGGGGTAGTTTGCAAGCCTGTTTTAGAGGTGCTGTGGCTAAAGCCAGTACCAGGGTACGGCACACTGTGGGAGAAGCAAACATCCCAGAGCACGCCAGGATGCTGTGGTAAGTGAAGGGCTTGTTCCTAGCCGTGTACCCACACAATCAAAGTTGGAATGTAAGCAGAAACTGAGCACATGGGTAGCTCCCTGTCTGAACAAATCGGTTTTATTGCTGGGCAGTCTTTTTCTTTCCGAGGATGAAGTAGGGCAAACTGCCAAGGCAAACATTTACTGACCCGATATTGTGGTCCTGGCTGGGAAACAATTGTCTTGGTGGGTACATGTGGATGCCCATTCGAGTGACCTAAAAGCGCTCTGAATTGAAGCGTAAGGATGCGTACTGTCCTGGCTGTGTCTGCGGCCTAAAAGACATGCCAATGAGGCGCTCTGTCTCCCATTTGATCCTGTAATGCGTTAAGAACAGAGAGGTCTATTCTCACTCTCGATGGAGCAACTGAAATACGGAAATTGAGCTTCATTCCCTTTTAGAGGGTAAGTTGGAATGGCTGAGCTGGGCCCCACAGTCTCTGAATCACCTCCTACTGCTCTGCCTTTCTCTACCAGCTGCCTGGGCCCAGAACATCAGCACCAAAAACTGTATACCTGAAGTAGCTGCTGTGGTACTACCAGCTAGCTGCGGACAATGAAAAGAATGTGTTACTTTGCTGAACAAAATGAGTCTTACCAAGGCACTCGGGTATTGTCATAGCCCTGCTCAAAGACCCAAGAGTAGAGAGGAGATAAAAGCCCAACTGCTAGCACATTGTTCTGCCTGCCCTAGATATGAAATGCAGCCTCAGCAGTTTGAACGTCCCTTCCAAAAGAAGTGACTGATGTCTGTCGGGAAGTGAGAGGAGCCAAAGTGCTGACTTCAAGGTCCTTTCTTTCCCTTCGTAGGTGTGATTGATGACAGAGGAAAGTTCATCTACATCACTCCAGAGGAGATGGCTGCCGTGGCTCAGTATATCAAACAGAGAGGACGAGTCTCCATCGCAGAGCTGGCCCAAGCAAGCAATTCCCTGATCAACCTCCAGCCTGACAGCCGAGCTGTTGCTCCAACTGTGGCATGAAATTGTGGTGTGAGAGAAAAACGGCGAGAGTTTGCCCGTTTAATGAATAAGCCACATAATTGAAAACAAACGAGAACCCCTCTAGTCTATTCACGGTGCTTGAAGATAGGATGCTCATTTTAAGCGTCAGCTGCAAGACTTGATCAAAAGATTTTGCTTTTTGTTCTGCTAGAGCTGGTATAAAATAGGACAGCCATCTGTACAACAGGGGCTAGCTAAGAACTTGGGGCTAAAACACTCTGATGCACCTGTACCCCAGGAATATCAGTAATTTTTCCATGGTTACTTTATCTTGGCAGCCAGTCTCATGTGACTATACCCAAACTTTTTATTGTTTCCAGATTCTGATGTCTGTATCAACTATAATTGGTTTTGATTGCATTCAGAATTCTCCAGGCTTGCTCTGCATTTATGGAGCTGTACAACTTTGTGGCAATGACATGCACAGCCCAGAATAATAGGTGTGTAGGGGTGAGGCTTGCAGATTTTTGTCTTCTGTATCAACATTGAGAGGATAGAGTAAAAAGAAAATACTTGTCTCTGTTCTTGCTGAAATACATACTGAAACTCTAGAAAGAGTGCTTGCTATGTTGTGAGAACTTCCAGAGGTTATTTCAGAAAACCTTTGCTATATAAATATATTTTGCTTGGTTTATATAATGTAAAAATTTTTGCTCGCAGCCAAGCTGCGTTATTTTTCTCTAGCCAGGAGACAGAAACATCTCCAGGGAGAGGCTAACTCGCCTCATTTATTGTGCAGGCCAATTCTGCTGATACCAACCAGATTCTGATGATTCATTCATCCTTTGAAGTAAGAGCCAGCTCAGTGTGTCTGAAGGCCTCGGACACCCCCACCCCACAGCCTTTGTGTTCTGGATGTTTTTTAACAAACAAAAAAAAAAAAAATTAAAAATTCAGGCACTATGAGTCATGCAATTAATGTTACAAGTAAATGATTATTAATAGATTAATTATAGCGGTCAGTGTATTTCCTGCATAAGAATATTTATATTTTAATAGCCTAATTGGTGCTTTGTTAATTCTCCTTTCTGCAATCAACAGAATCTATGTACCTATACAGTAATTGGAGAGGGCAAGAGGGGCTGGTTTTGTCTCTGCCAAACTTAAAGATAACTTGAGTAGACTAAAAGCTGCGTTATCAGTGAGATGAGATAGCAATAAAACAATGAGAGGAAGCATCTTTCCTTTTTAATCTCTGCACTGCTGCTGAATGTGATAACTCTGCAGGAGCGCAGAGTTACAGTGCAGCACCACGTGTCGTGTCGATGTGGAAGATCGGCACGTCGTTACTGTGTTGCACAACGAGAACCAGCAAAAAGATTGCTTGAGATTTTAGGCTGGTAAAGTCTCTTAATAATTCAAAATTTGATTTTGCCATGATTTTTTTGTTCTGTCCTAAACTATTCTTTTGATAAAATAAATGATATTGAAAGAATTGCAGATATTTGTATTTGAGAGATCTTTTTTAACATGTTAAAGGATTTTATGAGATAGAGGAGCCAGCCAGAAATGCCATAGACTCCAGTGTGCCAGTCAAAGACCAGAGGTATTCCATTAAATCTGCTGAAGTCACACTGAAGTGTGCTCAATTTCTGTGAGTGTAACAAACACCACCACGTCCGCAAGCTTGCTCTGCTAGCAGGAATGCACCAGCAAAACCCCCACTATTTTAGCATGGGCTGGCTCTCTGCCGAGCAGGGTGCGTGCAGTCACCTTTAACACACTTCTGTGTCTTGGCTCGGACAAGATTTATGTCTTGAAATGGTCTAAATTGTTTTTATATTACATTATTGGAGTTTAACGGGGCTGTGCCAAAGCCAAAAGGGTTGTTTGTGACTCAGTGACGGGTCACAGAAAGACTGATGAAAAGCTGCAGTTTAGAGGAGGTGCTAGGCAGAAGAACGCAAAGCTTCTTTGAGTCTATGCCCCCAAAATTATTTCTCTGAGAGAGTTCATAAATATGTGAGAACTCGCATCTCATATATGCCATGAACAGAGGTGCCTAACGGGAAGGCATTTACCCCCGCTGGCACTAAATTAGGGGACACCCCCAGATGTCGTGGCCACGGCCGAGACAGGAGCTGTCCCTGATGTCCTGGGCGAGGATGGAGGCTGAGGATGCTGGCGGAGAGGCGGAATGGTCCATCGGCACCTGGATGCTCGCCTCTCCTCCTCCCTTGGCGTTTAAAACTGGCCCTGACCCTCCCTTGCAGGGAACCGCGGTCCTGCAGGACAGTACCAGATCTGCCCGCTCGTCCAGAGCACTGATCCTCCCCATGTCTGATCCTCCCTGCTCCAGGGTAGGATGGCCCTGCAGAGGGACCTGGACAGGCTGGATCGATGGGCTGAGGCCAGCTGTATGAGACTCAACAAGGCTGAGTGCCGGGTCCTGCACTTGGGTCATAACAACCCCATGCAGCGCTGCA